CACTTAAAGTAAGCAAGTAAGCTAGATTCTAACTGTTGTCCCTTGAAGAGAAATGCTGATACATGTTAAATGAATTAAATAGCTATCTGTGTGTGCTTTCATGCATGCCACATGTGGGTGCAAGTGTGTGTGTGTGTGTGTGTGTGTGTGTGTGTGTGTTTTGCAGACACAATGCACATGGGGAAGTCAGATGACAATTATCAGGCATCAGTTAATCTCCTTCCATCGTGGTTCCAGGAAGAAAATCAGTTCATATTTCAACCCACCAAACCATTGTGATACTGCAAAATGGAAATCTTTGCATGAACCACTCAAACAAAATGCAGATATGGTATCTAATATATAAATAAAGCCAATTTGAAGAAATTAAATTTTAATTTTGAGATACTTGAAAGATTTTAAAACATACCATTTTACTGGTTTTCTTTTTTTAAAATTATTTCCTCATGTAATACATCCTATACTTCTCCTATCCCCTCCCTCATATTGACTCTCCTCCTTTTCTCTTCAGAAAATGGAAGTCCTTCCAGGGATATCAACCAGAGCAGGGCATAACAAGTTACAATAAGGCTAGGCACAAATCCCCATATGAGGGCTGAGCAAGGCAATGAGGTAAGAGGGAAAAGGTTCCAAGAACAGACAAAAGAATCAGAGACAATACCCATTCCAATTGTTAAGAGTCCTCCCAAAAAACCAAGCTAACAAGAATAACATATTTGCAGAGGAATTTGTAAAGACCCATCAAGGCCCTGCAATTGCCATTACAATCTCTGTGAGCTCCCATGAGACCTGTATAGTTTATTGTGTGTGCTGTCTTCTCCTGTTATCCTTGACCTCTCTGGATCTTACAATCCTTCTTCCCCTTCTTCTGAGGGGTTACCTAGTGTTTTCAACTTCTATTAAAAATTTGAATCTTAATTCACCTAATAATATTAATAAAATGAATATCACCTGAAAATTTTAATCCTAAAATTAAATCTGGAAGCAGTTAATGTAATATTTTGAAATAGTTGCTGAAAATTAATTTAGGAAAGAACTCAAATAGCTTTCATGTCTCCTTGGACAAATTAAAAAGATTGCGAATCATACTTTAGCCACATGTTATAGGTAGGCATGTTAAAAGTATTCAGTTATAGGAGAAACAGTCTTTAATAGAGTATAGAAGTTAAACTTTATTTATATATTTTCATGACTTTTTAGTGTGCCGCATTGGAGAGATTTAAATATTAATATATAATGTATTTACATTTACACTTCAATATACAGATCAATCTTTAAAGGCACAAGTTACCATTGATCTTTTTTTTTTAATTTATAAAACAAAGTCTTTCTAAGTAGCACTGGCTGTCTTGGACCTCACTACACACAAAAGATATTCTCAAGATTCCTCATTTTGCAGTCCTTTTACAAAGTTTCTCATGTCGGGGTGAACCACAACCATGAAATACTTTATTGGTTTTTCATAACTGTAATTTCTGTACTGATATGAATCATAATGTAAATATATAACATGCAGGGGAGGTTCCCGCTGCATCAGACAGGCTTACAGGTCATTGAGCTGCGGGTGGAGGCTAGTGCAGAATGTGTCTAGGAAGGCTGTCTCCCAAGCAGCAGATGAGTCCTTGGAGCTGAAGAGGATCAGGACCTGCTGGGTCAGCTCCTGCAGGACAGGGATGGCTTGAGCCTTCTGGATCTGCTGGGCATCCACCTTCTCCAGAGGGAATGCAAAGTTCTTTCTGTCCTTCAGGCAGGAGAGAGGGGAGAGTCTCCTCATTTGTGTCAGGAGTGTCAAGGCTCTCTTGTTCCTGAGGTTATGAGTCTGAAGCAGGTCACATCCTAGAGAGCAGGTTGATAACTCATCCCCACCAGGACTGTCAATAAGTACAGGCCCTGGCTATTGTGAATTTTCCAGGTGTTGCTTGGTCCTCTAGGTCCTGTGGTCCTGAATTTCTTAATCTTGGTTCCTTCAAGGTCATCTTGTGTGAATATGTCATAAATAGGGAAAACACTAATTTCCATTTTAATGCCTATAACATGTTTCCTAATTCTCTTGTCTTTCTCACATTAATTCTCTGTCTCTGGGCATTTTTTCAATCATTTTTGCTGTTTTATGTTTACAGTTGATATGAGTGTTCATGAGTTTTAAGTCAGATGTCAATGGCCAGTTACTATCTCAGTCACTCCCTCCTTTACTTCTGTGACTGGTTCTCTCATTTAATCTAGGGTTTATCATTGCAGTTAGGTAGACTGACCATGAGGCACTAGAAGCCTGTTGGTGTCTCCTCCCAAATTTAGAGTACAAGCAGGTGCTTCTATGCCGGCTTTTACATGAGTGCTGAGAAACTCAAGCCTGTGCTGACATGACATGACACCACTTCCTTCCTTTCACTTTCAAGTGGCATCACAATTTCAGTTCAATACCACAAAGCAATGTCAGTATCTTCTCTCTAGGAAAGAGGAAAATGGAAATAAAACGTTCAATTCAATGAAAATTCAAAAGAAAGGCCATCCACCATGAAGCTACCATACCAATAGAATAATGAAATGAAAAATTATGCACAATGGATGTACTGAAATTCTTCTATCTGATACCCCAAGGCTCTCCACTATTCAGGTTTCAACTGAACAAAGGCAGAGTGGGTGTCTTTTTATTTTAGTGCTAAAGCAAAAATGGATAAATATCTGAAGGTGAAAATTTCTAGATAACGAATAGCCAATTGGAGGTACTGCTATCAGTGTCTCTTGTGTTTTGTATTTCTACCTAAAAACTTTAGGGGCAGCAAGCAGTCAGTGATTAAACATTGATCACAAAAACATTTTTTGCAAACACAACAAATGCATTTCTATTACAAGTGTCCTCAGGACAAACTGGAATGTTTACATCACTACAGACCTAAGAGTCTTCTGCAATTAACATCTTGGTAACTAGACACTTGATCCATGGTAATGTAGTCACTGCTGAGAACAAAATCCTTTCCAATGAAGCCACTAAAATTAGAGCAGCAATCTTCTAGGATTTTTGATGCTGAAAACAAGCAAACACCATATCATGTGTTAGTGAGTGTTGAAGCCATCAAGATACGGTGAGCACACTCAGCGAGTGGGGACAAGAGGAGGACCAAGGACATTGTGTCACTATACAGCAAAGATGGCAAGTAGACTCAAACACCAATGACTAAGTCACAGGACCCTTGGAGAAATGCTAGCAACTAAAGTTCAGAGTCTCTAAACTCATCCCCACCCAGAAAAATCTGCCTTCTGTGTTTGTGTAATTGTTATCTGTCCACAAACACCACTGATTGTGGACAGAAAGGGAGATGTCTACACTGATGTCGTGACTTTAAATATTTTTAAATTAATTTTATTTAAGTTAAAAACAATCTTACTTTACATATCAATCCCAGTTCCCTCTCCCGCCCATCCTCTCATTACCTCCACCATTTCCCCATCTCACTTCCCATCCATTCCTCAGGGAAGGTGGGGCATTCCACAGAGGAATCATCAAAGTCTGTCACATCATTTGGGGCAGGGCCTAAGCCCTCCCCCATATATCTAGGCTGAGAGATATCCCTCCATAGAGATTGGATCCCAAAACCCATTCATGCACTAGGGATAAATACTGGTTCCATGGCCAGCAGCCCCACAGACTGCACAGGCCTCCTAACTGATGCTCACGCTCAGGGGGCCTGGTTTGGTCATATGCAGATTCTGTGAGATCCCACTTGGTCAGATCAGCTGTTTCTGTGGGTTTCCCCAGCGTGATCTTGACCCTTTTGTTCATCACTCTTCCCTCTCTACAACTGGATTCCAGGAGTTCAGCTCGTGCTTAACTGTGGATCTCTGCTTCTGCTTCCATCAGCTGTTGAATTGAAGGCCATACTTTCAGGGATCATTTCTACAGTTCCTTTAAGGGCAGAAGAAATAACAGGGCAAAGTGTAAAACTGAAACTTTCAGAAGAAAGCTGTACTTGATAAAGTTTATGGCAGTTTATACACATATATGTGTGTGTTTGCATGTGTGTGTAAAGGAGAGAGAAAGAGAAAGCATGTATTGTGTTTGTGCGAGTGTGAGTCTGACACCAAGTTCTTTCCATAGCAAGCATGAGGTATGAGAGGACACCTCACAGAAATCAGTTTTACACACACCACGGGTTCAGGGGATCAATACCAATTTGACAACCTTCATTAGGAAACTATACAGATTGTGCCATAATGACCCATGGACAATCATTAAATAAATACCTAATACACACTGTAAACAAAATTTGATTTTTCATATAATTTAACATTAGTCCAATTTTTGACAACTAGAATAAACTTGCTAAACTTTTAAAACTATATATTTATTTTACATCCAGATTACAGGATCCCCTCACTTATCGCTTGTCAAGTCCTTCCCAGCAACTCCCTTTGAACCCATCCCCAAATCCTACTCTTCCCTTTCTATTTACCAAAAGGCAAGCCTCCCATAGATAGAAACAAGAAATGGCACATAATTCATTTTACTTAAATGAACAGATACATGATTCTGACTTGTACCTTTGCATCAAATATCATTAGTGTACACTTAGAAAACATAATTTGCAACAAAATTTACATTACAATTTCACTAACTATATGAAGAAATAAATACAACCCATAAAATTCCATTGCACCATTAATTTAAAATAACTCTTCAGTAAAGTTTTTAGATGAAAGCTTTCATTCTTTACATATGAGTAATTTCACAAAATGTAAGGTGTATCTGTGCTATAATACTCAGTGATAATCTGTCAATAAAATAAAATCTAGAGAAGCTCTGCTAAGGGAAGCAGTGAAATTAGAGAAATCATGAAAACAAAAATGGCTGAAAAAAAGACAGGCACTAGCAGAGAATGACTAAAAGAAAGTGAAAGGGACATGGGAAAGTAATGGGAGGAAAATTAGAAAATGGAAACTGGTGCTTTCTACTATTTAAGACATGCTCACAGCATGGTCTTCAGAAACGCTAAAGAGGAAGGTTCAGGACCAACAGCCCATAGGACAAGCAGCATCTCCACCATCCCCAATGTCAAGGCCCTGTGCTTTCCTGATGGCCCTGGTGGTGATGAGCTACTGGTCAACCTGCTCTCTGGGATGTGACTTCCCTCAGACTCATAACCTCAGGAACAAGAGAGCCTTGACACTCCTGACACAAATGAGGAGACTCTCCCCTCTCTCCTGCCTGAAGGACAGAAAGGACTTTGCATTCCCTCTGGAGAAGGTGGATGCCCAGCAGATCCAGAAGGCTCAAGCCATCCCTGTCCTGCAGGAGCTGACCCAGCAGGTCCTGATCCTCTTCAGCTCCAAGGACTCATCTGCTGCTTGGGAGACAGCCCTCCTAGACACATTCTGCAGTGGCCTGCACCAGCAGCTCAGTGACCTGCAAGCCTGTCTGATGCAGCAGGTGGGGGAGCAGGAACCTGCCCTGAGCCAGGAAGACTCCCTGGTGGCAGTGAGGAAATACTTCCAGAGGATCACTGTGTACCTGAGAGAGAAGAACCACAGCCCCTGTGCCTGGGAGGTGGTCAGAGCAGAAGTCTGGAGAGCCCTGTCTTCCTCAGCCAACTTGCTGGCAAGATTGAGTGAGGAGGAGGAGTAAGTCCTGATCAAAGTGGAGAGGACTCTCCTGGACTAGGACACTGCACCTCACTGCTCAGATCCTGCTCTGTCAAGGATGTCACTCATTTTGACATCAATCAAATATTTCATCAGTTATGTATTGTATAGACATTATCTTCTAGATTCATGGAGTTTTTATTTATGTGTATAAATATTTATTTAAGTATAAATATTTAAGTATAAAATTTAAGTTGTAATACCATGTGAAAATTACATTTTGCTTAATATAATAAACCTGTATTCTATATATAATAAAATTATTTTTCTATGTCACTAAGTATTACATCAATTTTGTATGTGTCCATTGTTTTTATACTTTCAGTACTCTAAATTTCATTAAAACTGACACATAGAAATTGAACACTATAGGGCACATTTTGTGCTGATTAGTTTTATGTCTTCTAAATGCAAGGTAACCTCATTCGAGTGGAGTGAGTATCCTTTAAGCAATGCCTCCATGTGATGCATAGTCAATAAACCCTATAGGACATTTTGTTAACTAATGCTTGAAGGGGAAAGCCCTGGCCCATTGTGGGAGCGTCCATCCCTGAGCTGATGGTCCTAATCTGTACGAAAGCCGGCTGAGCCATCCATGAGGAGCAAGCAGCACCTTTCCATGGCTTCCACATCAGGTCCTGCCCTTTCTGAGTTTTTGTTCTGCCCTCCTTTGACGATAAACACTGCTGTGGAAGAACGTGTAAGCCAGATTGGTTTAACTAAGTTGTAAGTTGGTACCAAGATTATGGGGGTAACTCTGTGGCAGACCTGACCACATGTTTAGGGAAGGACTGTGCAAAGACTTTGGAGCATTGGGCAAGAAAAGCCCTTGAATGTTCATAGCTTGGTGATCTGTTCCATGGGAGCTTGGAAGATAAGAATGTTGAGAGCAAACACACAGGCAATATAGGCCTAATTGAAAGATTTCAGAGGGAAGTTTGAGAATCTGCTAATGACTCCATCAGAGCCTTTAGCTATGTGATTAAGGAGAGTAAAAAAAGGTCACGTGTGCCCCCCAACAATAAAAAAGAAAGGAAGAAAAGAAGAAAGGAAGGGAGGAAGGAAGGAAGGAAAAAGAGCGAACCAGGTGCCCTCTGGGAGGCGGCCTGACAGGTAACAGGGCCAGCACAAGGAGGCAAGCATGCTCAGCTGCCCAGACTCACTCAGCCTTAGAGGAAACAAACCCGTGTCAGCACCTAGCCACAGGAACAATAAGAACAGATTGCAAAACTGGATTATGATAACAGTTCAGCGGTGATTAATTCACAGACCACAGGGACATTATGGAAGTCAGGACCCGCTAAATGTCCCAAAATTTGTCCCAGTGAACAAGAGAACCGAACATCAAAGGAAAATTGGTTGACCTCATAACCTTGAGAGGATCAAGAACGAGGTGGACAAGCAGGAAAGACACACAGCCTCCTTTCAGGCAAAGACCCCCAGAGGCCGTGAGCCCTGGATGGAAGGACACTTGGAGAAAAAGTCTGACCCTACAAGGAACCTGGGACTGTCAGGCAAAGAGGCCAGAATCAGAGAGGCCACCGCTGCTGGGGACCGCTTCTGGGGACCCAGGGTGGTATAAGAAGGACTTGAGCCACCACCACCCCTCCATTTGACCCATGCAGCATGCATAGTAGACACCAAAGTACCTGTTAGTCTGCTGCTGCAATCTCTTACACAGAGACCGTTCTCAAACACAACACCCTCTCCAGGACACACACGCCAACTTGCCTGGAGTCTGGCCACTCTGGCCGGCTGATGACAGGCAATTCGCAGCCCTTGTCAGCGAGCTCCGGGAGACCAGGCGTGTTGTAGAAAATTGCTACCGCTAGGTGTCGCCCAACAACCCTTTTGATCCCATCGTCCAAGGAACCAACACAGATTGCACAGGCGGCTCCCGCACTCCAGTGGGCTCCCCGCTCAGGAGGATCCTCCCATGCAGGGGTGGGGACACAAATGCACAAAAGGGCTGGGTACTCACCCCCTCGCCCGAGTGGCACAAACGCTGGCTCTTACCATGCTGGGGCTTAGTAAACTCGAGCTGCACTCGGCCGGCCTACCCCCCTCAACTGAAGCAAAAGTATGACGGGAAGCTATGAAAACTGGCAAGTCACTCTTAGAGGGAGGCTCAGGTCAAAGAGTGTCACTGACTATTCGGTTACAAAACTATGTGCAGCCAGGGGCTGGCACAATTAAGGGATGTGAGATTCGGTGAGAGGGAGGGAGGCGGTGATGGAGTTTGTGCCATTTAGAGCCATTCAGGTAGAGTGTAGCTGTGTGTCTCATCCCTGGGCAAACTGTTCCTTTGCACTGTTCCTCATATCTCTTTTTGTGTTAGTGTCCTGCTGTTTTGATTACTATAACTCTGTAGAGTATGCATTCAGGTGTTGTAATAACGCCACAACTGCACTTTGTGCTTCCATGTAATCTGATGATTTTCATTTCTAGTTCTGAGTGCAATGTTGCTAAATTTTCATCGGAACTCCATTAAACATTAGGTCTCTTTTGATATGCAGTCATTTACATGTTATAAACTCTTTTATTTCATGAGGGTAGGATTTCCCGAGTACTATACTGAATGATACTAACATTACTGCTATTGCTTCCCATCTAATAGCAAAAGTCACTTCCTCTCTTTTTGCTTTCGTAACAGTTGATGTCACGACTGGGTTTTGCATTCTAGGAAAGTAGAAACTACAAAAGTAAATAAGTAAGAAAGCAGTTAAGTAAGCAAACAAATAAATGGTAAACGTCATAAAAATTAAACAGAACTGATGCTATCCAATTGTGTCATTTTACTGCATAACTTCATTAGGGAGTAAATACAAGGAAATGCAGGCAGAATCCACCGTTAAGTGAACATCTCCAAAATACAGTAAAATTAAAGTGAAAATTTATGAATAATTTGAGGACATAAATCTCTTCTTCTCTGATCTCTACCATGCAGTTTTGAGTTGAATGGAGATGGGGATGCAAAGACTCTTAATTACTTACTGTATTCAAACTGGATAAACAACTTTAGGTTTGGTACCCACATAACTGTAACCAAATGCTCAGCCATCAGTGTCTTGTAGTTCAATCTAGTCATTTCAAACACTCAAGTACTCAATGATTAAGTGTCCATCATAGAAAAGTATTTGACAGTAATTATCTACTATGAATGAAATTAAGACAAACAAAAAAATCTTCAGTATAGGCAGCTCAAGTTATTGCTGTCAATATTGCTGGGAATACTTAGTACTCTGATCCCTAGAAATGTGAGTCATGACTGAAAACCAAAGCCCTTCACATGAACACACTAAGAGAAGTAACCGTCTAGCATTTAGAATGGTGAAAAACCAAGCAAACACCATATCCAGTATGAGAGCTGAAGTCATCAGGATGTGGTGAGCACACTCTCAAGGGCTGTGGGACAAGAGAAGGATGGAAGGTATTGTGTCACTGTGCAGCAGAGAGTGTGGGTATACTCAAAAGCCACTGAGTGAGTCACATGGTACTTGGAAAATGACATCACATTGGCATTAGACTGTCCACACACAGACCAAGAAGAAACCAGCATTCAGGGTAGGGGTACTTGTTACAGGTTGAAGAACACTGTAGACCTTGGTGCTCAAATGGCAGACAGAAAGGGAGATACCTGCATTAGTCCTGACTTTGAGGAGCAGTGAGGCACAACCCCACGGCCTTCAAGAATCGGTTCCTGAGAGAGAGAATTATTAGCGAAGCTCTGTCTACTGCAATGAGTCACCCATGGGAATAATCGGAAAAAGATCATCTGCATCTTCATTCCGAAGAGCCTTTATGCTATGAAGGCTCTGCTCGGTCTCTATGAAGTAAAGGAAACTCATAGAGGTGAGAGAGCATCATGTCCAGTAAGCAAGGGAAACTACAGGGTGTGGAATGCAGCTAAAAATTCCGTTATTCAGTGTATTTTTTCATACGTGTATGCACTTTGACATCCTACCACAGATCTTTCTCATTGGAACAAAGCTTTCTATTTATATTTAATGTACTTACTGGGAAATTAACATTTTATTTCAAACAATATCCGAGTCTTGTGTTTCAGGCCACAGAAAGAACACACAAATGAATCATTAAAAACACTATGGAGAAAAGTTGTGAAAACGAAAATGTTTGAAATAGTCTTTCTGACTGCTTTGTCATCTCAAATATTTCCATGCGTCTATGGTCACTTTGAAAAGATGCTGGTTCCTACTTCAGAGACATTTCTTTAGGAACAGAGAGCACGTAATTTAACCTCATGATGCTTGTGGATGTTAAATGCATTCATCTATGGGAGCAACAGACTTAACAGAGGACAGGCTTTATACTTCAGCTATTTCTTTGTTTATATATTTCCTATACTGTTAATGTACAATATCTGTAACATTTGTGTGTTTAGCTATAATGTACTCATCTTTACATTTCAATAAATGTAAATGTAATGTGTTTGAGCATTCTTTTCTTTTCTTTTTTACTATTTTGGAAAGTTTCTCTACATGTCTATTGCTGTCCTCGAACAAAACATGTAGACCATGTCTACTTTCAACACAGAAATCAGTGTTCCTCTGTCTCCCAAATGTTAAGAAAAAAGATATGGGTAATTACACCTGACCTGATTTATATTTTTTGTTACTGTGTGTTTGGTGGAAGATATACAGATGTTTGTGTGTTTGCATTTGCGTGTCCATTTTCATACATGTTGAAGAAATGTCAATATCCAGTTGCTAACTCAGTCACTGCCTGCCTTGGTTTCTGTGAGAGGTTCTCTCCCTTAAGCTAGGGATCCACATTGCAGTTAGATTGGGTGAGCTAGGATCTCGAGGGACATGTCTGTGCCACATCCCAATTTTCAGGAGTCCAGGTATGTGCTATAATGACTGAATTTTCAAGGGTGCTATGAAACCAAACTCATAATCATACTTGTGCTGTAAGAGTGTTGATGACTGAGTCATTCATCACATTTTAAGTGAACATTTTTCATGAAATTCTTTTTATTCTTTAAATTAGGTGAGTAAATTTCATATATTAGATGTACTGTATATACTAAAAATAATGAAAATCATTTAGGAGAACTCTAAAATGGTTAGTTGAGGGGAGCAGGAAAAGTTGATACAACAATGAAAACAA